AAAAATCAGCTTCTTAATAAAGCACCTACTTTTTAAGCAATTTACCAAGTGATATGCTTGAAATTCTACTTCAAATCAGATATAAATGTGAGAGCTTTCTAGAAGATATATTCCCTACACACGCACGTACTCAGAAAAATGCAGGGATCAAAACTAACATACAGGGCCAGGGAAGATAGCTCGGTGGTCTAAGCAGCTGCCTGGTAAGCACAACGACACGGGTTTGATCGCTGCTGCCCCATGCCGCGCTGGCCCCATGCCAAGCCAGCCACAGAAAACAGGTGGTGGTATACACCTGTAATCCCAGCGCTGGGGAGGCTGAGACAGGAAGCTCACTATGAGCTGCGCAGCAAGACCCTGTACCAAATAAGTGATAAATATTAAAAAAAAAAACAAACAAAAAAACCCTCACATACAAAGTGACACGCCCCGGCACTGAAGAAGGCTGCAAACTAAAAAGGATACTATATGTGATGTTCAAATAGTACTGCCCAGCGGGCAACGTCGGACGCAAATCACTCGTCTGTTCTATGAGACGATACAGCTTCCGGAAAGTAGGCAGCGCCGCAGTGCGCATCCAAACGATGAAGTCCTCATTGATGAAGCCATTGTTGTCCTCATCCGAATCCAGCATGTACACCGGCTTACGCCAGTTTACTGGCTTTGTTGTTCCTTAAAGACGAGTGGGGGAAGGATGAGGAAACAACATACTCAGTTTCAAGGAATTTCAATGAAAAGTCACACTCTACTAATACAAAGACAAGCAACATGTAATCTGAAACTTCCATTGTGGAAGCACACATCTACTGGTGTTCAAAAGAGCCTTAAGATTCTGGGAAAGCAGCAGTACCAGGTCCGAGACAGTGGCCAGCAGAGGCCGAGGAAGGAGCTTGAGGAGATCCGCAAATGTGGAATGAGAAGCTGCCGTGATGTCCAGGTTGAGGAAGCTAATTTACTGACGTGGCCAGGGCTTCCTGCTCCTGACAACCCTCCATAGGATAAGGGGCCTTCAGAAATGAAACCAACTTCCCAGCAGCGTATCCGTTCAAACCACCAAAGATCACACTGAACACAAAGATCTATCACCCAAACATTGAGGAAAAAGGGCAAGTTTGCCTGCCGGGAATTAGTGCTGAGAGCTGGAAGCCAGCGACCAAGACTGACCAAGTAACCCAGTCCCTCACAGCACCGGTGAATGGCCCCTGCCTGAGCGCCTGCTCCGGGCTGACCTCGCTGAAGAATACTCTAAGGACCGTAAAAAATTCAGTGAGAATGCTGAAGAGTTTACAAAGCAATATGGGGAAAAGCGCCCTGGGGACTAAACTCTGCCACAAATGATTCCAGCGAGTGTGAGCAGAGACCCCGCGCAGGGCACTCAGACGTCCCGCACAGCAGGACTCTGGGAAACTGGCATGCGCCACTGCCCAGCATTCACTTGGGGCAGGTACTAGCTTTCTACAGTTTTCTTAATCAAAAGTGATCTAGTAACCTGTACAGAAAAGATTAAAAATTTCAGAAATTCTAAGAAAAATGAAAGAACCCTAAAATCTATCAAACCAATTCCTGGTGTACCAAAATAATTTACAAAGACTTGGTTCATATTTCAATTGAGGTTACAAAAATAAGAGGGAGATTACTTAGAGCAAAAATATAATGTTAAATATTTATGAGCCAGCCATAGCAGAACATGCCTACTACCCAGGTATGCTGAGAGGCTGAGATAGAAGCGTGGCAGAAAACCAATTTTAAAAAGTGGGGACGTAGTGGGCTCAATCCACAGTACTGCACCAAGGAGGAGGAGAGAGAGGAAGAGGAAGAGGAAGAGGAAGAGGAAGAGGAAGAGGAAGAGGAAGAGGAAGAGGAAGAGGAAGAGAAGGAAAAGAGCAGGAGGAGGAAGAAAAGGAGGAGGAGAGAAAAAAGAAGAGGAAGAGCAGGAGGAGGAGCAGGAAGAGAGCAGGAGGAGGAGCAGGAAGAGAGGAGGAGGAGGAGCAGGAGGAGGAGCAGGAGGAGGAGCAGGAAGAGAGGAGGAGGAGGAGCAGGAGGAGGAGCAGGAAGAGGAGGAGGAGCAGGAAGAGAGGAGGAGGAAGGGGAGCAGGAGGAGGAGCAGGAGGAGGAGCAGGAAGAGCGGAGGAGGAAAAGCAGGAGGAGGAGCAGGAAGAGAGGAAGAGGAAGAGCAGGAGGAGGAGCAGAAAGAGAGGAGGAGGAGCAGGAAGAGAGGAGGAGGAGGAAGAGCAGGAGGAGGAGCAGAAAGCGGAGAAAACAGACTGTTAAGGCAGCACTGAAACAAATTCGTGTTATAATTAACAGTCTTCTTTACAACAAATTTTGCAACAGGTATAAAAGATTATAAGAAAATTCCAAGGGGCTGGGGAGATGGCTCAGTAGAATAAGCGTTTGCCTGGCAAGCATAAAGGCTTGAGTTCAATCCCTGGTTCCGCCAAAAAAAAAAGAAAAAAGAAAGAAAATTCCAAAGAAATTGGATTTACAATTAAAAGTATGTATTTCCTTCAGTGGTTTTTTTTTTTTTTCTTGGAACCAGGGATTGAACTCAGGTCCTTGCGCTTGCCTGGGAAGCGCTTATTCCACTGAGCTGTCTCCCCGGCCTCCTCCTTCAGTTTTAACATTTCTTTTTTTCTTACAGTGCTTAACACAAAGTGTGTGTTCAATAATACATGCTTTAAAATCTAGTTATTTTAAAACAATAAGCAGAAAATATTACTGATGCAAATAGCCACTGTTCACTGTTATGTATGACACTAAATCAAACAATTAATAAGGCACTCCATAATAACAAACTTTGATTACCACTCAAAATTCGAAAACAAGAATAAAGAACTTAAAAAGCAAATCATTTACATAAAAGGCCTATAATGCTCAATAGCATTCATTCATGCATGCAACAAATATTTATAGATATGCTAGGGTCCTTTTAGGCACAGAGAAACAGCAAATAAAACCAAAAATCTCGCTCATGCTGTGAGGTTTAGCAGAAGCAAATGGATAGGCAGGCTAAATAAGAAAAGTTACAAACCAATGTATAGTATAAAGAAATAAAAGCAATGCAAGAAATAAAAGCAATGCTCCTCCTTCAGTTTTATTTTTATTTATTTTTTTATTTATTTGAGAGAGAGAGAGAGACACAGAGACAGAGACAGAGACAGAGACAGAGACAGAGACAGAGACAGAGACAGACAGAGAGAGAGTAAGTGTGTGTGGTGTGTGTGTGTGGCCAGCTCAGCCCACCAGGGGGCGGGGCTGGCTGGCATGTGGTGCTGGGGGATCGAACCGCGGTCCCTGATGCTTTGCTAAGCTTGTTCTAAGTAGGTGCTTTAGACCACTGAGCCATCTCTCCAGCCCCTCCTTCAGTTTTAATACATCATCAGAACTTCTACCTAAATTGGTATGAAGTTGAGGAAAGAAAAGCTGTTCATGCAAACCTTTTACTAAAGATAGACAATGCAAGTGACTCCACTGAAGTATCTGGTTTGTTCTGTAAGGGATGAGAAATGTTCACCTTTAAATCGTTCTTCCAGGCTTCCCGCTCCAGAAGGGTTTCTGAATTTCACGTGTTTATCTGTCCACCAGGCAATGCCTTTCTTTTTCAAAGTAATAGGTGTAGGTGTGGGATCAGACTCATTGGAGACCAGAAACAACTCTAAGGTATCTAGCAAGAAAAGGAAACTAGCAGTCAATATCTGCTAAAGATCTGTGATGCCTGCTTTCTTACCTGGCACTTACTCCCCAAAGTGGGCGGGACAGAGAGGGCCCATGGGGCGAGCATCAGGGCGGGAACTGGGATTTGAGACGAGCACTCGTCCCTGCTAAAGGCCTCGGTCTCTTTCCTCCAGGCCAGCCAACATGACATGGTCACAGGTTTCAATATTTACCAGTGAAATTAGAAGGTAAATCTGCCTTTTCAGAACCTCATTCCCGCCTGATGTGTCCGGGCACAGTAACTCCTGCCTGCACACCGGCCCACACAGCTACGGAGCCCTGGAGGTGGCGCCAGACCCCGTGGATATTTGTGCTCAAGGAATCTCAAATTAAATCTATGAAACTAACTCCTGGTATACAAAAAAGTTTACAAAGACTTGGCTGGTATTTCAATTGAGACTACAAAAATAAGAATATTCAGTATACAACAAAAGGGAAATTACTTACAGCAAAAATACAATGTTAAGAAATATTTATGAAAGGCCGGCCAGATAGCTCAGAGGATTAAAGGACCTGCTTAGACAGGCACAGGGACCAGCGCTACAGCCCTGGCGTGCCACGCCGGCCCTGCCCCGGGCACGCTGAGATGTGACTGAGGCTGGGCGAGGTGGCGCGCACCTGTCATTCCAGCGCTTGGGAGGCTGAAAAGGAGGATCACTACGAGTCTGATCCGCGTAGTGAGACCCTGTAGACCCCATACTAAATGCATTTTTTAAAAAAGAAAAGAAATATTTACAAGCCAGCTGCAGTAGAACAGGCCCCGCTACCCAGGCACGCTGAGAGGTGGCAGAAAACCTCTTTTAAAAGTGGGGATGTAATGTAAGTATGCAGCACACCTCAGGGACTTGGTATAAAAATACACACTGCTCGCAGTAACTTTCACATGCTATTATTTACCGAAATGATAACATCTGTGCCATACTGGGTTAAACAAAAATATTATCAACATCAATTACACTTGTTTCTTTTGAGAATTTCAACTAGTAGAACATTAAAATTAATAATATGGCTCATGGGGCTAGCGAGATAGCTCAGCAGACTAAGTGCCTGCTTTGGCAAGTGCAACGACCAGCGTTTGATCCCTGGTCCTGCATGCCACAACGGCCCCACTCCTAGGGTTTGATTTTGAATGAAATCAAAGGCTGACTGAGCTATCTGCAGAACTCAATCAGCCTTTGATTTAAAATTCAAGCCCTGGCTTTAGTACACAATGAATCTGTAAGGAAAGCTGGCTATAAGTAAGGTGACACTGGAACCCTCGAAATATATTCCCTTCAATGCAACTTCCACTTGCTTATATTACTATGTAATATTATATTACTATATAGGTATATATCAAATTAATATCTTTTGGATGTTGAAATCCCCAGGGGTGCTGGGCATGGTGGTCTGGGAGTGGTGGTGCCTGCCTGTAATCCCAGTGCTGGAGAGGCTGAAAACAGGAGGATCCACTATGAGTCCGAACTGCATAGTGAGGCTCTGTACTAAATGCATGAAAAAAAAAAAAAAACAAACAATACAGCTCATGCTTACAGTCCACACATCTCCACTGAGCTCCAAATGCCTTCTCTAACGGCATCAGTAACCAAAATCAATGGGAGCATCAGTCTGGCTTCTATTTTAGAAGGAATGTGAGATTAGCAAAACATCTTGCTTCTTTCTTCTCAGTGACAGGTATCTGTGCTTAAATATGAGGACACTCAGAAGAAAGTCACAAAGCATTATAAACCCCACTCAATACCTAATCAATTATTTATTATAAAGCTGAATTTCTTGATTTCATTCATGACTGCTAGACTATCAAATCTGCAGGGAGACTGTACAAACCCTCTGAATTATGCAGGTCTACATCAGCATCTACGCTTGCATTTGTACCGTACCATTAAACATGCTGTTGGCAATAGCTCCACAGGGAGCCACTGGCAGGTCTTCATTTTTTCGGTAAGGCTCACACTCCTTACTGGGATTCTGGTTTTCAGAGGAAAAGAAGAGAGATATTACCTAAACCTCTGCCAAACTCAGTCAGCCTTTGATTTAAAATTCAACCCCTGGCTTTAATTGATACACAATGAATCTGTAATGAAAGCTGGCTATAAATAAGGTGACACTGGAATACTCAAAATACATTGCCTTCAGTGCAACTTCCACTTGCATATGTTAATATGTAATATGTATTACTATATAGGTATATACCAAATTAATACCTTTTGGATGTTGAAAGCAACAGAAGCCACAAAACATAGCCAGGTGTGGTGGTCAGCGTACCTAGAATCCCAGCACTCAGGAGGCTGAGGCAGGAGGGTCATTGTGAGTTCAAGACCAGCCTGGGCTACAAAGTGAGCGCAAGGCCAGCCTGAACTGCATAGCGAGACCCTGTCTCAGAAAGAAAAAAAAAAATTCTAGGCTCCGCCCCTGCAGACACTGACATTATCAGACTCAGGGGAGTTCTGGAAGCTGTATTTTCAAATAGCTGCACAGAGTTTGGCAGTCACTTGTCTTCTGGAATTTACTGCTCAGGTGTCCCCGAAGGGCAAAGACAAATGAAGAGCACCCCATCCTATTTGAAACACACTCCAGAAGTTAAAAGCAGCCTATCTGCCTATGTTCCTAGTACGGTAACAGCGAGCAGTTCCAAGCAGACCACACATACACCCAGGATGCGAGACGCATCCACACACCTTCCCAAGCAAGACCCAAGCCCCAGTGGTGATGAGAAGCAAACGGCTGCTGCTTTAGTGTCTTCTGGCATAAGAAGTAATTAAGCTGTGCAAGTTCGCAGAAAAGAACTGTAGTTAACACCCCTCGCTAGACTAAGAACAAATAACGAGTACTAACCAGTACCAAACACTCTCCATTCCTGACCCAGCGTTAGCGTGTGTTCTTACTCCACAGACATCATTTTCATAATTTCATCACTTTACTTACAATTAAAGCACCAGCATCTCCATTGAGCTGACTGTCGTCTCGAGATTTCACGTAGCGACGATGATTTTGATAGAAATTAGACAGGCCGTAATACATGAACACATTGCCCTAGAAAAGGCGGAAAGGGAAAATTTTTTTCATATAAAAACATACATTTAAGGACAAGAACAAAAATTAAAGTTTATTGAAAGGAACAGTTAATGTTTACTTGCTGGCAATCTCGCGTGCCAGTATCTGGTAATCCGAGTAACAAATTTGATGAAAACAGTATGTAATGTAACAACCATTGTTAATTTTCTATTCCTGCTTTGAAATTCTGTACCATTTTTATTGTTATATGTTGTTGTGTTTTTGCCTTTGTTCTCATTATTTGTTTTAGGGGTTTTCTTCCACTTTAAAATAAAATAAAAAAACGAAACAAAACCATATATTATGGGGCCTGGGACATAACTCAGCAGTGCAGCATCTGCCTGGCAAGTGCAATGGCCTGGGTTCAAGTCCAGGCACCAAAAGAAAAAAAAATT